TTGCTTCCTGGCTGTGCTCAGACACATCTCCAAACTGGAGTGATGCTATTTCTGTTCATTCTCTCCCCACTTTGGGGAAAATCCACAAGTCCTGCCTGACCACTGAATAAATACCTTATATTTGTGACTGAGCTGTCTCAGGACACATCAATTATTTGCCTTTTTTTTACTTTCTCCTTCTCAGGTACCTCGATTTTCAAGTATCATAGCAAATATGAGAGCAAAGTGAGTAAATCTGAGCCTAACTAAGGGTGTGAAGATTTGGGTTTCTCTTCTGGGGAGCAGTGTTTGCTACATTAGGGACACTGCCACAGCTGCACGTGCCTGAGGGAATGCAAGGCAGAAAACACAAGGGTGGGAGCAAACTGAGAACAGTTTGTGTCAATGCCATAACCCTGCTGGGTTTGGGAAACTGTTCTAGTGTTGAGGTGGGAATGAGAGCAGGGGCTCACAGCCTCTTAGGAAGTGATGAAGCCTGTGGGAATGAAATACAGTGTTTGCTTCAGCACTGGTTAACGCATCCATCATGCCACAGGGTAGGGACCCCATAAGGCAGAAAAAAGGTGTATGCACAGGGAAGGAGACTTGCTCTGCAATGTCAGTGTTGGGCAGCTAGAGATAAAAAAGGACTCAAATTGTGTAGCAGAGAGGGTATGCTAAAGTCCTCTCTTCCCTTGGCTGCAGCTCCAGGGGCAGAGCTAACCTGTGCCCATCTGCTTTTTGCTGCTCTTCCCTACCTCTAAAGATTCTCTTTGCAACACCTTTTGATGCCTTTCATTGGTTTTGTTTCCTTTTTCAGCACAGTGGATGAAGTCTGGAGTCTTCATCATGAAATTGAGGTAAAGTATTGCATTTTGGGGTTAGACAGTTTTTGTTTGATTTCTCTTTGGGGAAAAGGCAGATTCAGTGCCCACCAAGGTTAGGAGATGATCAGTGATGTAAGGTAGGAACATGTCACTCCTCAGCCGATCTCACTTGGACGTGCGAGTCCTCAGCACATTTAAAGATTAGGACAACATGTAGGCAAGTTCATGATTCTGAATCAGGCCTGTATTTTTTACACCTACACTTTGAGGTGATAGGTCATCACCTGCAGCAGATTTGCCTTTGTTTCCATTCTTGTTTCCTCAAGACCCATGACCATGTCCCAGGTCACCATGTGCCCCTGCACTCAGTCGTTTCCCACCTCCAGTTTACCAGGGAGAGGGTGCTTTGTATGCTGAGCGGGCTGCTGGCCAGGCAGCAAAAGGTTGCTGGATTTTAGCAGAACCAGGCCTGATATAGCCTGTTGGCTGATCCCAGAGAAGAGCCGAGAGGGTGGCTGGATGCCCAAGGAGAGCCTCGACCAGCAGCCATGGGATGGCACATCCACCCCACTGACCACCACCAAATTTCCTCCTCAGGAGTTTTGCCACCAGTTCATTGCCCAGTGGAAAAAGTTGAATCTGGACGTCATGCTCTGTCCCATGCTGGGCCCGGCCCTCGGCATCGGCTACCCTGGGAAGCTCTCAGGTAGGGCTGCCTCCAGCACAGCCCTGCTGTGGCACTCCACCAGTATCCATGAGAAGTGTTCCTCCCCCCCTCACATCCCCAGGGCGCTGGCCAGCTTTGGGAAGAGCTCGTCCCTTGGGACAGCTGCAGTCCCAGCCCATGGGGTACTCCCGGGACAGCCCCCCTGGTACATGTGGGAGCCCAGGGGCCGGTTTCTGTCCCTCAGCCCTTGAGTTCCCAGTGCAAGTGCCCTGTTTGGTGGAAGCTCACGTACACCAAGGGGGGTGGAGGCTTTCCCTGTGCCAGGCTGGCACTGTGAGCTCGCCCTCTCCCCCAGTGGCAGTCAGCTACACCATGCTCTACAATGCCTTGGACTTCCCTGCTGGCGTGGTCCCTGTCACGATGGTGACAGATGAGGATGAGGAGGAGCTGAAGGACTACAAGGGCTATTATCGGGATTGGTGGGACCGGACCCTGGCAAAGGTGAGTGGTGCCAGGTTCTCCAGGGGCACGGGCACCCCCATCGCTTCCCCTGGACGTCCTCATGCCCTCTCCCACTCTGTCTGTGCCCCAGGCCTTTGGTGGCAGCGTGGGGATGCCCGTGGCCGTGCAGTGCGTGGCCTTGCCATGGCAGGAGGAGCTGTGCCTGCGGTTCATGAAGGAGGTGGAGAGACTCGCTCTGAAGAAGAACAGTTTCTTCTGAGACCCACGTGCTCGCCTGGAGCAGGATCCCAGCTCACATCAGCGTGGGTCATCCTTCGGTCTGACCCACAGGACTCGTGTTCCCCTCAGTGAGGATGCGGTGATGACTGGGATTGCTGCTGGCTTTGGGCTGCAAGGGGAAGGCAGGGTGAGCTCTGCAGTGGTGGAGTTCTGCAGTCATTGTCCTAATACAGTACCTTTTGTTATCTGAGTCTGTTATTTCAGATCTGTGTTTGTGTGTGGGGTTGGGGTGGATTTTAATAGCCCTCTCAACACCCCCCAGGGAAACACAAGAACACAATCTTTCTCATACAAATGGGGAAACTGAGGCACGGGGACTGGTTTTGTCTGAGATGCTTGGGCTCCTACTTGGAATGCTGTAGGAACAGGGATTTCAGCTCCCTGAGGATGAAATCTGGTGTTTTCCTTAGCACAGACCAGCAATCTGAAGTGAAAACAGACTCTGGCAAGCAAGGAGGGAGCTGGCCCACTTCCCACAGCACAGTGCTGCTGGCACCCTGCACACCATGAAGGAGAAATCAGTAGAATCACAGAATGGTTTGGGTTGGATGGGACCTTAAAGATCATCTAGTTCTGCCCCCCCTGCCACGGGCAGGACACCTTCCACTACACCAGATTGCTCAGAGCCCCATCCTACCTTGCCTTGAACACTTCAAGGGATGAGACATTCACAGATCTGGGCATTCTATTCCAGTGTCTCACCACCCTCACAGTAAAGAATTTCTTCTTACACCTTATCTAAATCCACCCCTTTTCAGTTTGAAGCCTGTATTGAGCAGCGTGCCAGGGTTGGATGGATGGCACAGAGCCTGCCCTGCACACCTTCTCCTCCCCTTTAGCCCATACCAGTTTTTCCAGCAGGGTTTACCAGCCACTGGCAGCCACTGGCACCAAGATTGGGAGGACTGGCTGCTCCCAGCAGGTTTCCAAGAGTGTTCCAGAAAGGAATACCAGAATGCAAAAGTGTTTCCACAATGCGAGAATGTCAAAAGCAGATGGTAACAAAGCTCTGGCAGGATTATTGTTTGGGTTTTTAGTGTATTATTGTTGTTTAAACCAGAGCTGTGCAAAAGCATGGAGTCTTTTCAAGGGCTGGGAGAGTGTTTATCACAGCCAAGGAGAAAGCAGTCCCCAGGACCCCCCATTCTTTATCAGCAGGCTTTGAAAACAGGAGGGAGGGAGCTTCAGGCATTCCATGACTGAACACTATGTAAAGCAAAGCCCCAGAAGAGTCTGGGTGGGGTTTTCCACCAGTCACAGGTGCTCTCTGCCCACACAGAAGATGCTGGATGGGGTTATCAGTTTGTATTTTAAAATTCAAGCCCGGAGGATCTCGTGCCAGGAAAGGCAATGCCACCAGCACCCCTGCTCCCAGAGAGCCAAGCACTGTTGGTTTAACTGCTCTCTCCCTGGCATGGAGGTGGGCAGGGTGCAGGAGTCCAAACCACAGAGCCACCAGTGAACCTGAGCATATAATTATTCCTCACTGGAAGCCCTGAGTCTCTAGGGAGCCACGACCACGGGACAGTGCACCAGGCAGGGCCAAAGCTGCTGGGCGGCTCTGGGGACTTGAGGGTGCCAAAAGGGCCAGCTGCAGGCTGCTCCCAGCAGTCAGCGGGGAGAGGTTGGTGACATACACCCCGAGTTGTTTGCCTCGTTCTTCAGCCTTCCCTGTCCAAACAGGGGTGATCCTCCTCACCTTTCCAGTCAGCAAACAATTTATCTACGAGGTCTTGCTTCTCGCCCAAGCTCCCTCCCCTGCTGCCACAGGAATAATCCCACCGGGTGTGTCTCTAACAGGCAAGCAGGTAACAGGGTAGCAGCACAAGCACTCACTTCGGTCCCCAAACCAGACCTCTCCACCAGAGAGCAATGGTTACCCTGGATGCAGTCCCCTTACAAGTTCTGCTACCCTGCTGCCTGGAGCAGGGCCAGCATCTCCTCAGGTACAGCTGGGTTGCCTTGCATCTTGGCAATGAGCTCTTGGAGGCATGCCCTGTTCCTTCCCTGTGGGCTTGCAGATCCCTGAGGATCGAGAGAAGCTTAATTTTTGCAGCCCCTCCTTTCCACACTAAGCCACGGGACAGTCCTGGGCAGGGGCAGCACCCATGGCAAGGAGCAGCTCCTGGGGTTGGTAAGACTACGTGGTCCAGCTCCTTTACATCCTGCTGGCTGGAGGATGGCTTGGAAACTGGAGAGCACATAGGACTCTGCATCCACCAGAGGGGATTTCCCAAAAGTGCTTACCTTCTGATCCAGGTTGCCAAAAGGCTTTTCAAAGGGGCTTGGCTTGAAAATGATACAGAGGAGTCATCCTCCTTGAAGGCATCTTCAGATGGCTCCTTCCACGCTGCATTTCCAGAGTCACCTGCATTCTCTTCATTCTCCTGAGCTCCCACCTATCCACAGGGGCATTTTCACTCCCCAGAACTAGCAGAGCTACATTTTCCCAGGCTCAAAGGGCTGCAGGTGATGCTGCCTGAGGGACAGGGATGATGGCCAAGCATCTGTAGTTAATGATTGTAAATGTTAATTAATTAATAGGTGTGGATATGGTAGGCATAGCCCAGACCTGGGCTTTGCAGGCACTCAGCTTTGTGTGCAGCCAGGGACAGCAGCAAACAGTGGCTTGGGGAGACACAGAGTTGGGGGACACCCCAGCCTTGGGGAAGCCCCCCCAAACTGAGTAAGCTGAGCATATGGCTTTGCAGCCCGACCCACAGCACTGCTCCAGCAGGCAGACCCTTTCAAAGTCCATGGTCTAGAAAGTCCATTCCTGGACTTTGTTAAGGCAACTCTGCTTCAGAGCTGATCCTGCACAGCAGGGCAGTCACAGAGTCTGCATTTATTTGCCCTCCTGAGGAGAAGGTGGGAGACTCAGGTGTCTGTAGCTGGACCCGAACTGAAAGGACGGGGAGAGAAATCATGACCCAAGAGCGACTGTGGCAGGTCCTGGATCCATCGTGGGGGGACCCTCATGCCCTCTCAGCTCTGCTCTGCAGTTCAGCTGCAGCTGTCGTGCTCCTGAAGTGGCTGGGACGCAGGCAGGTCCAGCAGAAGATGCACGAGGCGAGGAGGTCTCGGGATCTGGCCCTGGAAAGGATGGAGAAGGCGGCTCACAGGTTTAAGCAAGAGGTAAATTTGAGGGAAAATGTGTGTGGGAGGAAGGAGTTACATTTTGGATAACCAAAGAAATGGGGGAGCTCTGATCAGTCCCTCTCTGAATGGTGGTTAGGGCACATGCATGTTTTCCAGTGTCACCAATCCAATGTTTTTTAAGGGTCATCACCCTCCACTGTCATGAAAACCCCTCCCATAACAGGGAGTGTAAAGGAAGTATTTCTTAATACAGACCTGTTGAGGGAATTATGAGTATGAAAGACAGATTGGAGCTTGGGACCTTTTCAATCAGATCACCACCCCAGACCTCCATATGCCCTTTCTTCTCATCCACCCCTACTGCCAAGCCTTTCCTCTCCCATCCTCCTTACCTCTCCCCCTCCATGGGGACCTGACTGCCCCATCACCCTCAAAGTACAAGGGGAGTTCACATCCTTCCAACATCTGCACATCAGTGACCAAAAGCTGTTTCCTCCTGCCCATGCCCAGGTAAAGAAGCACCTGGATTTTAGGAGATCAGGTACTTGGAATTGGGATTTGTCTTAGACCCATAATAGACACCTACTGCTGTTCTTCTCTTGGAGGGGAGGTTGCAAACAGCCTACACACTTTTTTTTCCCATGTTAATGATAAATTTTGTAAAACTTTAGCTGGTTGAACTGCTATTCAAGTTAGACTTAGAAGAGGGGTGAAGGCCTGTAGGAGAGTAAACAGAGACAGGTCAAACCGCTCTTACAGGTTCACACAACTCTCCAGTGAAGGAGCAGTTTTCTCTCTGTTTTGATCCTGGTTTTATGAACTAAGACTCAACAAATTTCCCTGTCAGCAAATTCCCTGCTCCAGCACACACAGTGCTCTGTGGGAGGTCTGCATTTCTACAGGGCATGTCTTCTAAAATTTTCCGTTCAAGGTGATTGCTGGGCAGATGTTAGAACTGGGTATTTGCAGCCTCAACACCAGCCTTTTCTTTTGTTTTTTTTTCCCTCTGCACTCAATTTCCTACTCTTTTTAGAACCCAGGCACCCAGACCACACATATCCTCTCGCTGACAATGGTGGAGCTGGCGGAGAAGCTGAAGGAGGGGTCCCTGTCCCCAGAAAGTGTCCTCTACTCCTACATGGACAAAGTGAGTGATGCTTTCAGCATGGAGGACAGTGGGACTTTCAAATTAAAAACCAGCTCATTTTCTGAGAGAAGCAGCAATGCTGGGGATTACAATTTGTCAGTACTGTGATGTCTGAAGCATGGCTTACAGGCAAGTAAGTAGGAAAGAGATCCAGGGCAGAAAATTATCCCAGAAAGAAACACCTGAAGTTTATAGATAAGATCTGAAAAATATATGCTGAAGGTTTGAGGAGATTGCATTTTCAGTATATACTTATATTCATATACTTATATGAATATAAGTACTGTCTCCTTTCACCCATTCTTCTGTCTTGCTGCTCCTCCCTGCTCTGGAGAGGCTTTGGAGGTGAATCGGGAGGTGAACTGTTTGACAGACTTCATTCATGGCTGTGAGGATCAGCTCCAGAAACTGAAGAAGCAGAAGGAAAAAGGGCTGCTCTATGGCATTCCCATCAGCATCAAGGACCACATTAACTGCAAGGTACACCCCTGATTCCCCTGCCTCTTGGCTTGGAGCTGGAAACAGGCCAGGATGTCCCATCCTCACCTCAGGACTGGCTCAGAGTTCTCTCAGACAAGAATCTGGATCAAATATTGTGGGACCAGCAAACCTGCCTTTCTTCTGATGAAATCTTGTTTTCTTCAGAAATTTCTAACCCGCTCTGATCGGGTTTTCCCTGGGATAGTCAGGTCCTGCTCTGCCTCTGAGAAAACTTAGGTGGGAACTTTGGAACTGTAACAATAACAGACATAAATCATGATGCCTCCTGTGGCAAACAGGATTTCTCCTGTACGTAAAGAGCTTTGTTTCCCATCCCCAAGGGCCACATCTCCTCTGGAGGGATGGTGAAGTTTCTGGGCCAAGTGAAGGAAGAAGACAGTGTCATCGTCCAGGTTCTAAAGCACCAGGGGGCAATCCCCTTTGTGAAAACCAACATCCCACAGACAATGATAAAGTAATTGCATGTTTGCCTTCATGAAAACACTATGATACGTGACTCTTGCTATCACAGAGAGTGTGGGCAAGCTCCCCCCCTTGTCCAAGCTAATCATGCACGTTGAGTTAATTGCCTCCTTATTTCAATCTGAAATGATTTCTCTCATATTCGATGCCTCTTTCTCCTTAAATTCAGCTGTGCCAACAAATCTACTTCATGCTGATTCTACCTGCTGGGATTAATTCCTCTCTCATCCATGTACAGATGCTCTGTGCCCTGTATTTATGGTTTGCAGAGGCAGAAGTACCTCACTCACCTGCTGATCTTCTTCTCCCCAGCTACGACTGCAGCAACCTCATCTTTGGCCAGACACTGAACCCTCTAAACCACCAGAAGAGCCCCGGGGGCTCCTCGGGAGGGGAGGGAGCTCTGATCGCAGGGGGAGGCTCCATCCTGGGCATCGGCTCGGATGTAGCTGGCAGCATCCGCCTGCCCTCCAGCTTCTGTGGGCTCTGTGGGCTCAAACCCACAGGCAATAGGATCAGGTACATCCCAACTTCTGTCCTCTTCTTCCACCCAGTGTGGAGACTGCAAGGCGTCCCCCAAAGTGCATCAAACTTTGCAGTAGTGTCCATGGCTTCCTCCAGGCTTAAGTTAGCACCTAACCTGCCCTCGTGCCAGCTTGAGCTAAAGGTTCTATTAATGATACAAGATGACTTCTACCTGTTAGCACAACAAAGACTTATTCAGTTTTTAATAGCCCTGACCAAGAAGCTGAAAGCAAATGCTACAGGGTCACCTCCTTTTCAGATATTTTCCAGCCCTTGCTTTGCTTGTAAGAGTTTTCTGTTTAGCGGAGGTGATTTGTCCATAGATGAGGAATTAGATGCACCAGGGAAAGGAGATGATTAGCCCCTAGCAGCTTACAGACCATGGAAGTTTTTCTAGCCTAGGAAGTGCAGGACCTTTTGCCCTACTAGACGCTGACTGAGGGCAAATGGGAAGTTTGCAGCTTAGTGTGGTGACCTGCCTTACAGCCAGAGGTGCTGCTAATCTGCTTCTCCCATTATGTTCCCAGCAAACAGGGTGTCGTTTCTCCTCTCGTAGGAATGCAATCAGGTAAGTCCATCCTGATGGCACGTCACTACTGTCAAACCTTTGCTTCTTACATCTCCTACAACTGAAAGGCCAGCAAGGGTGCTTGCTCAACGATGTGTCTCACGGCCAGTCAAACCAGTGACCTATTAGACCTGCCATGTGTTACTACCTTTTTACACCACTTACTCTCTCCTGGATGGTGGCAGATGTTTGCTGAATCTGAGCAGAAAGGAATCAACACCTGTCCAGGCAATGCAACATGTAGCAGGAGAGGTGTGAGATGCACATCCCAAAGGCCTGGGATATTTCACTGGAGATGTGCCAGGAGACTCTGCCAGCTTCAGCTGCTGCTGGGCAGCATTGCTGTTGGCAAGAAGGCTGCAGCCCTTCCTCCTTGTGCCTGCAGAAGCCTGGCCCAGAAGGTCAGCCTTAGTAGGCTGCCCCTGCTCTGAGACTGACAGGTTATCCCTGCTGGACCTCCTTGTACACTACACTCATTCCTCATTCCTCTTCCCTGGCCTGACTGAAATTCTTCCCTGCTGGACCCCTACCGGTAACATGGGACAGCACCAGCCCACCTGCCTGCAGTGACAGGACCTTTGTCCTTGCAGTGACACCGATGCTGGGGCCAATGGCAAGGGACGTGGACAGCCTGGCCCTGTGCATGAGGGCGCTGCTCTGCGAGGAGATGTTCCGACTGGACCCCACCGTGCCCCCCATCCCCTTCAATGAGGAGGTAATCCCATGTCTCTATGTTCCCAGCAACAAAGTGAGACCTCAGGAGAATCCTATCTGGTTTCATGTCCCAAGATAGCAAAGGATCCAGGGAAATACGTGTTCATATGGACAGAGGACACTCAGCATGAGTGACCGAAAGAAGCAGCCACAGGGCAGGGTTGGCAGGCAGGAGTCAGCGTCAGAAAGACCATGCCAAGGACCACTGGTGCAGACCTGTGTTCTGGACAACACTGCTTTTGCCCAGCCCTATTGTTCCCATCATTCCCCCAGCCCAGGGGAGCTCAGCTGGTGCCTCCCTGAGCCCTGGGATGATCCAGTCCCGCACGTGTGGTGTGTGTAAGTCGTGGCTCCTCCTCTCACAGGTTTACACCAGTTCAAATCCTCTTCGCATTGGGTATTATGAAGGAGATGGTTACTTCCAGCCCTCACCCAGCATGAAACGGGCCATCCAGCAGACAAGAAAGCTCCTCCAGGATGCAGGGCACACGGTGGGTTTCCATGCCTGTGGTTGCTTGGAGCTGTTACCCTGCTCCTTACAAAGTCTGGACAAATCACTTTCCATCTCGACTTTTCCTGCTCATAATAGAGGAAGGCAAATGCAATGGTTTATTTCCCAGACTGAAGTGATCTTGTTTATATTTCTGGCCTAGCAGACATGATAATTATTTTAAGATATCTCCAAGTCACCCCAAGCACTGTTTTTTTTCCGTCATGTTTGCTGTTCCCATAAATATCAAGCACAGCAGTTTCCATGATCCCTCATCTACTAAACACAGCTTACAGATTTCTTGGTGGGTAAGTGGGAAGCGAGGTGGAGCAGTTAACCCCCCAGGGACTTCTTTCAGCCTAAATTATTCTGCAGTTCTACCAGTGGGGATTTCTATATGGGAACTGTTCCAATGATGCAAATTAATTTTAAAAAATTGGTGTTTTGAAGCCTCTAATAATTCTTCTCTAACATGTGGAGGAGTGGAGCCTGTGCCAGGTCACATAAGTGTTTTTGCCTTGGAAAGGACAGAAGGCAGATACTGCTAACCCAGCTCCCTTTGAAAATGGGGTCTTGCTGTCCTACAGCAGCGAGGAGGGTCTAAGCTTCCCACTACTTCGCTTCCCAGGCATCTCACTGGTGAGGCAGCAAGGTTCACAGAGGGCTCTGTGAATCATTCATCTTTGCTGCCTCTTGGACAGGGATGGTTTCCTTGCAGCTTGTTCCCTTTGCACCGCCCAAGATTGACTACATGGTAGATGAGCTGTTCACCAGAGGGATTTTCTCGGATGGTGCTGCTCACCTGGTGGACTGCTTGTGAGTAAAATCCCTATTTTGGTGTGGGCTGTGAGACTTGGCACTGTATACTATAGCCAGTGGCTGCATCCAGAGTGTTTATATTCTTGTGGGTGCAAACTGATACAGGAGCAGCAGAGGAGCAGTCTCTGGAAGGATGAATTTAGCGTGGGCAGCAGCCAGTTCACATGCATGGATAACATGGTAGATACCCAGCCAGCCACTTGCTCACTTCAGGGTGAAGCAGGCCCCACTGCAAAGCTCTCCAGAACTTTTAAAGCACTGATGACATAGGCAGTGAAGTACTGATTTATCTGTAACATTTGCTGTGAGCATCTATTGTTCAGTGTTTTCCTTAGAAACAGGCAGATTTGTCTTTTAGTGAGTCCCTTCCAAGACAAACTCTGCCTTGGAAGCAGCACTGCTATTGCTGTAGCTCTGGCACAGTGAATTGTCCTTTTTTACTCTCTGCCCTTCCAGCAAAGGAGACATCGTGGATCCCAACCTGAAATCCCAGTTCAATACTTACAGGCTTCCTGCTCTGGTGAAAAGGATCTTGGCTTTCCTTTTGAAACCCATAGTAAGTGTGTGTCTCATTTGTGTTATAAGAAATCAGCAAGGTGGGAAGGTTTCCATGTGCAGGGAGGTAGGGGAGTAAAACCACTTCACTGGAAACCCTACCAGTTCTTCAGAGCCAATTCTGCTAGGACGGGAAGTGTTTCCCAAATGCAGTCACATGGTAACCAGCTATTTCAGCTGTGTTGTTGTTGACTAACCCCAAGTTTTTCTCTTCTCTCCAAAAGTACCCACGAATTGCTCGAGATCTCAGTGCTCTCTGTGGAGTGGGGTAAGACACACTGAAGTAGGTCTAGAGAAAGTTGATGTGCTTGGATGTCTCCACCCATACGTGCAGGTAGATGCCGGGGCTGTGTGGCACAGGCTGAGCCAGATGAATATAGGCTTCCTCTGCACCACCTGGTCTCAGCACTGTGTTATCCAGGGCTGTTCAGCCAGAGGTTATTTTAAGAGCTTAAGGATCTTTTCAGTGACAGAAATCAGCACATGGAGATATGGGAATCCACCATCAGGTGGATTCTGGTGCCCAGAGCATCACGTGCCAAGTTAATGCAGAGGTCCCTGCATGCACGTGCGGTGGGGTGTGAGGTACCTGCACCTTCAAAAGAAGGAGAGACACACCAAACTGGGAGCAAGTGAATTTAGGAGACTGCCATGATTTCTGTCTAGGTGTTCTGGCATGCTTTAACATAAGCTCTTTCGATGTACCTGTAAGCACACGTGAACCCAGCTGAATCAGCTGGATGATGCCATAGCTTTTTCCCAGAATGGTCATGCAGTTTTCATAAAAATGGGCTGTCTATGCATTTTCCTAATTCTTTTCTGTTACCACAGTCACAAAGCTGATTAATTCTGTCACTTTTCCAGATCTGCCAAAAACCTCTGGGATCAGCACGGAGCAGTGGCGGTAACGTGACTCTTATTTCCCTTTTTCCTTACTAAATGTTATGAGAGATCTCTAAAGTTTCTAAGCAATTGCTTCACACTCAGCAATGCATTTGGGGCTGGAAACGAATCATCATCCTTTACCCTGCATTGTCTAAGCAAAAATAGCATAAGAACAGTCATTAAAAATGAGACTTCATTTTTTTTTTCTTCTTTATGTCTCTCGGTGCAAATTCCTTATTTCAGACATTAGGTGATATTGTCAAGAGCTAAGGCCATGCTTGAACGGTCAAGCAGAGACAAAGCAGGAGTCAAAAACTGTGTCTGTGAACTCTGTGGAACCTAGGACAGGAAGCTTTCTCCTGGGCAGCTGTGTCCAGTGCTGCCCACAAACTGATCGGGTTCCTCTTTTAAACCGTTTGAGTTTTATGCTTGCATTTGATTTTATTGACTGGTTCCTCTCCTTCCTGCTCTGATGGTTGGAAACTTTCATATTTCCCGTGCTCTTTGTTCCCTTCCAGTTTATCCTTATTTTATTTCTGTCCTTGAGTGCAAATAGCACCTCTCCTCTCTGGTATTTTCCTCTGCCTCACTCCAACATCTATTTATAGAGAGCAATTGTATCCTCTCTCAGCTGGTGTTTTGCAAGGCTGAAGAGGCTGAGCTGTTTTAGTGTCCACCCTCAGGGCACGATCTGTTTCCTGGGACACCCTCACAATCCTCCCTGAGGAGAAACATGCCCCCAGCCTGCACCACCCAGCCTCTATCAGTGCCAGTCACTTGATGGATGAGCAGGCTGCTCTGACAAATTAGAGGGCAGAGGAAAAACTCCTGCAAAGCTGCCTGGTCACTGGGCTGGTGGGAGTGTTTGGAAAGAAATGGGTTAGGGGTTTTTTTAAGGTGAAAACAGATTCCTGTCCCATCCTCCCCAAAAAAAAACACAAAAAAACAAAACCAGCACAAAAATGCACATAAAAATACACATGAAAAACCCAAAGAAACCAACAAAAACCCCCACCAAACAAGCAAACAAAACAAAGAAACGCCCCCCCCCCAAAAAAAAATGAAAACTCTTTAGAAGGTTTGATGGCTTCAAAGATATTTACCGTTGCTTTTGTTCAGTGAAACAATATTCACATGTTTTCATCTACTGCAAACAAGAGCCGATTCAAAACTTTTGGCTAGTGACCAGTTTTTTTCTCAGAAAAAAAGAAAAAAATAGGGTAGCTACACTGCCAGTATTTCCTGGAAACCCATCTCATTTGTTGAACTTTCATCAGGAAGAATCTCAGACTGCAGGTGGAAATCGAGGTCAGGCTGAAAAATAGCTCCAAGGCCAGGGCTGTTGTGAGAGATGTGGAAGGCTCTTGTACAGAAAACTTGGAGTGAGACAGTTGTGCACAACAGGGATGGGACCATGGGACACGTGTCTGTATGTAACCAGACTATGGCTGCAGAAACAACTGTGCTGTGGTCCATCTGTGTCTGTTTGCTAAGACAAAGTGGAACAGGTCTTTGAGGACGGATTAATTCGTTGCCTGATGTTCAGCAAAGGTGTAGTAAACCAAACTACAAACCTAGGTCTCTCTTGGATCTGCAGGACAATCCTGAAGATGTGCCTCCTGCATTGTGGGGGGATGTCCTGAGGCTTGCCTTGCTGTCTCTTGCTGCCTCTTTTCCTCGCCTGTATACCCAGGTAGAATGAAAGAAGTATTTGTGAAAATATTTTGGATTCATGTATTTTAGAACTTTCTATTGAAATAACCAAATCTTTTAGGAAATGTGATTTTTAGTCAGCCAGACCTAATTCTTCAAACTGCTGTTGATCTCCATTCAATACAATTCAAAAACAAAACTGTTCATGGGAAGGATTGGGTTAATGCTTGACAAAATCAAGTGAGAAATGCACACCTAGCATTAATGTCTAGGTCTGGGCAGCACATGGTATTCTGACAGGAAACCTAAAGGAGGAAGAACAAGGGCCCTTTCAAAGCACAGCTCAGATTTTATCTTATTTTTTTAGTTGTATCCAGGAAAGTTTTTTCCCCTCCTTTTCCTATGTGTCAGCACTGACCTGCCACTGCTGTCCAACAGACACTTTTGTCATCTCCTCTATCTTTCCTCCCAGGTTTACCGCACGGAATTCATTGCCAAATGGAGGAAGCTGAGGCTGGATGTGATCCTTTGTCCTGCCCTGGGGCCAGCCTTTAACCACGGCTATGCTGGGAAGCTCTTTGGTAAATCTCCACTGAGGTGTCTCTGGGTGCATCCCTGGCCGCGTTTGTGGGCAGAGCTGGAGCAAGATATTTTGGTCTCTTGGACATTCCCCAAACCATGTACATTGCTCAGTTTCCCTCTGTGGAAGAAAGCAAGGGAGAGATCACCTCAGTGGGTCTTCTCATTCCCCCACCTCATCTGAGCTGCTGGTGTTGGATTATTATGGGGCAGCCATTAGTGGCACATCTGTCCCCAGTTGCATATCAGTGAGTTTCCCTTCATTGTCTGTCCTGTAGAAAGCCCAAGAGCTACTCTTGCAGCAGAGAGTGGCAGTGAGGAGTGGCTGTCAGAGGGGTGGTAGACTTTGGTACAGGGCCAGGCTCTTCTGAATGCAGGGAAATGTCTCACATTTCCCAAGACTTTGCAAAAAGCAGAAAGGCCCATTGCGTGTGACTGGCAGAAAAAGGCATTTTTCTGTAGCTTCCAGCAAACAGTCAGGGTCCTCCATCTCCCTAGCAATGACCTTTTGGGATCCAAAATCCCCAAGATGATGTTAACATAACTGGACATCAGGAACATCTTGAAAAGATAGCTGAGACTTTTCCCCAGGGAGTAGGAGATATAGATGCAGACTGTGAATCAGATCAAATACTCATGTCTGTGTCTCTCAGAGCAGATCTGATCTTCACATGACTGACAGGTGAAGGTGTGGGTCTCTCTCCCAGCAGCCATGTGGCCCTCGAACCTTTCCATCAAAAAAATCCCTTTGTGGCAGCATGTTTTCAGGGTCTCTTCAGGTCCAGCCACTCCAGATTACAATTCCTGCAGCCCAAATTATCATCTGAAAGCCACTGCTGGCCCCGCACACTGAATTTTGCCATTTTGCATGCTCTGTGTGATCTTTTCCAGCTGCAACCTCCTACACCAATTTATACAACGTGCTGAACTTCCCTGCTGGGGTGGTGCCGGTCAGCACGGTCACGAGAGCCGACGAAGAGGAACTGAAGCATTACCAAGGGCACTACAGAGACCCTTGGGATAAGAGGCTGAAAGAGGTCAGGGGGAAAAAGGCTTAAATCATAGAAGAAGGTTATGACTGACACAGTGACACCTCTGGGATATTGTCCCAAGGCTTGTCTACATCTCCTGATGAGAGTGGGAGCTGGTTTAGCCATGCAGCTGGCATTCTCTGTGTTACTACCCTGTGTGTGGCGCTGCAGCAAGGCTGGTGTGTGTCAGCCTGACAGCTGTTCCCTTGCTTGTCTTCCTCTGCCTTCTCTTCCCATAATGTCTCGTGCCTCCCCAGGCACTCCGGTGCTCTGACTCAGCACTGTCCTTAACTTTTGCAGGCTGTGGAAGGAGCTGTGGGGTTGCCAGTGGCTGTCCAGTGCGTGGCTCTGCCATGGCAGGAGGAGCTGTGCCTTCGCTTCATGAAGGAGGTGGAGATGCTTGCCCACAACACAAAGAGAAATGTGTGATTTCTGGGAACCAGCCTTCACTGTGATGACTTTTCATTGCCTGCCCTTCACTCCAGCCACCTTCTACCCAATACAAAAGTAGACAGCAAGGCTCTGAGCTAACATTTCAATAAACTGGCACAAAATGCTGTTTAAAAATAGCAAAAATCTCACCCCTGTCTAAGTTGTCCTTCATTGTTAAACTGAGTCAAAAAAGCAAAAGAAAGCAGAGTTAATGCTGTAACCCCATGACAATAGCGAAAAAATATCTGTTGTATGGTGTGAGACCAAACAGCTGTTTATTGCAATATTTTACTTCCAGCAGTGGAAAGGAGCAGACGATTGTGGGAGAGTATAACCTGGTAAGTGCAGAATTCCCTCTCTGGCTGTGCCATTGGTTGGCTAAGAGACTTTTTGGCAAAGACTTGCAGTCAGCCCATGGGTTTAAATAGCTGCCAGGAGAGCTCTCCTCCACAAACTTGTTGGTCCCCTTCCTGAACTCATTTGCTCCCTTGATCTCCACATCATCCAGCAGTTTAATTGTTCAGGGAGTAGTGGAAAGCTTAATATTCTGTGAGAAATGGTAACTGGTCTGTCTTCACTCCTGTTCCTCATCATTTCTTCCAGTTAAACAATGGGAAAAGATGTGGTTTTATTGCCTATAAACACTTCAGGGAAAACTGAGAAAGCATTTCTGTGTCTACGCTTAGGCCATTCACACTGTTTGGTGTTTCCAAGAACACTGTGACAACTGTGTGCTGTTTCTTGACCCATCCTTTGCTGTCAAGGTGAATGAAGACACTGGAGGGAAAGGTGGGAGTGATGAAGCAGATGCTTGGAATAAGCAAGCGTGTGTTGAAACAAGGTGTGTGTTGAAGCACGGCACGATCATTAGCAATGATCATTAGCAATGATTCCTTCTCCAAGCCTCCATATTTCTCCAGGCACCAGGGCTGGAGGCAGTAGTTTCCCAACAGGAGAGAACCAAGGGTGACAGTGCCCTTGTTATTCACCTGCCTCCCTGGGGTAGTGCAGGGATGCTGCAGTCATCCAGCCACCTCCCATGGCCACTGGGAGGTCTGAGTCACACAGTGAGTGTGACACAGTCACACAGCCTGACTCACCATCCTCTGATCCCCACACAGCCAGGAGAAGATCCATGGCACAGCCCTGCTCCAAGGAGATGCCCTGATTCTGCAGGACTGCTGCTGGGGGCACCACCCACTGAGATCCTACTGGATGACCTATCTCAGGCCAGGAGCAAAGGTTTTTAGCTGTCCTCCCATAGGGAGGATGGGAGCTCACCATTAAACAGGTAACCTGCCTGGGTAGTATTCCTGGATAGATCTGAGCATGCACAGACCTTGTTTTTCAAGGAAAGGATAATGTCCTTTGCTTGTCTATCCCTCTGTACCTGTGCAAGGCTGAGAGAATCCTATTTCTAAAAGGAATTTCCCCATGCATCCTTGCACTCTGCATTCCAGCCGCTCCTTGTGGATGGCTCTAGAAGAGATTTACTGTTCCTCCCACTCTCCTTTCTCCTGCCTCCAGCCAGTCACTAGATCTCAGGAACCCAGAGCACTAGCTCCGAGGACACAACACCCAAAGGGAAGTTCTCATAGTGATCCAGCAGATGACTGAAGCAGAGTGCCTGGATGCTCTCACCCCCTGGTCTCAGCTCAGCTACAGCTCTCCTGGCACTGAAGTGGATGAGGTGGAGAAGACATGTCCAGAAGAAGATGGACAAGGTGCGAGGGAAACAAGATACAAGTTTGGACCTGATTTAGGGGTCTGGTCAGGAATTTAAAGGGCAGATAAGTGCCTCAGCTGGACAGAGAGTAAAGCACATTCCTGAGTAAAACTCAGAGCCCTTCTCAAGTCAGGTGGTCCATGATATCAGTTGTCATAAATGTGGGGGGAAAGTAGGGAGGGTGATGCTGAGAGCAATCTGGTGAGCTCAGGTGTTGAAACACAAGGAGAGAGAGGCCTGTAGTAGGGCAAAACTTCAGGTTTTCAGGACAGTTCTTCCTCCAGACTTCCTCCTCACTGGAGAAGGAATGTCAGCCCCTTCCCACACCCACCAACAAAGTGTTATTGTGTTTCCAAGCCTTCTGCAGCTCCTCACCATGAGCTGTTGGCTCAGGCTGTGCAGCCCTCGCAGACCTGCGCTGTGTGTTTGCAGAGTGCTTGTTCAGCTGCCTGGCACTGACCAAAGTCCATGCTTTGGTCTGTCTCAGAGAATTATGTACGAATGCTGCTTGGGCCAAAAGAGCTTTGTTTTTACTAGTTTCTTTCATCTCTAGCACAACAGTCTGGCTGTGGTCTTTGCTTTGATTATTTTTCCTCCTCCCTCTTGATTTTGATAAAAATTTAGATCTGCCCTCCTCAACCCATATTTCATTCTATGACTAGACAAATAACCAAGCAAGGTTGAGAGATTGAATCGTCAGGCAATCCAGCTTTTTTATTTGGTTTTACTTTACTTTGCAGGATTTTTTCTTTATTTAGCGTGTCACAATGTTATATAGTCACAGCATCAGGAGCAAGTAAGACTCTCTAGAAAACTAATACTAGCAGGACATGAGTTGTTAGAACAGGTCAGTTGTCCCCTTGCAGTATCTGAAGCACACAGAGCTCTGTGATGTAGCAGGCAGTGACAGAGGACATGAGGGACACAAACATTTCCAGGATCCCAGACATTCACTTCAAACAAGTTTCGAGGTGGTAGTTGAAGTAGCTAAAAGCAAATGTTTAAAAAGGAGGTGAAGTGAAACACCTGAACATAGGAAAGCTCACCCTTGAAACACAAAAAAAACCCCCAAAATTAGGATTGGTACGTCCTTCAGTCTGAAACAGCTGTTTGCTGCACAAATCCTCATCTCGCCAAGCACAGTCAGTCTCGTTTTGTTCCTTTGTTTGTTTGTTTGTTTTTTTCCTGCCACTGTTCTCCTTTTCACTCAAATCACCCAGCTTCCCTGCTGCCCTGCTTGCCCATAGGAGACCAGTGAAAAGCCCAGCTTCCTGCTGTCAGCTTTGTGCCCAGCCATGGAGCAGCTGGGAACATCCCAGTCCCTCACCATCAGGGTGCTGAAGGCTCTGCTGTCACTCAGTGGGGACAGACGTGAGCAAGACACCAGACATGATGGAAGAAGTAGGAATGCTCCTGGACTTCTGGTGAAGAACTAACAGCTCTCTACAGCATCTTTGCTGATCATGTCTCTACCTTGCTGGAGAAGTTGTAAGTAGGATCCGTACAACCCACCTGGCTATGGAAAGGCTCAAGGAAAATAGTGCAATACTCACAAAAGTGGGAAAGATGTAGGGATGATTAGGAGAGAGAGCAGCCCCTGCTGTCAGAGGTGTCATGCTTGGTATGGGAGGTCTCTCTTCCAATCCTATTGCAGTTTATTCAGGGAAAGCCAACAGGGTCCCGGCTGAGCAACATGGAAAAGCATTGATAGAGACAAACCCTCACCTCTCAACTGATGTTCTTGATTGTTGGAGAGGTGCAGATTTGGTAGGGGCAAGTTTCTTACCAGCTGTTATGTTCTGTGAGTGCTGGTGGAGTTGGACTGAAATTGAGGAGAGTTTTATGCTCCAAATAGATATTCCAGGCTGAAATGAGTCAGAAACTGGAGAGTCCCCAGAAAACATTTATTCAGCCCTCTGAGCCAACTGCAACAAGTTCTCCAGAGGGGACCAGCCCAAATCACTATGATTTCAGTATTTTGTGAAATGTCTTTAATATTCTTTCAGAGCAGCATAGTTAACATGCCTCATTTTGTAAATCATTTCGAAAAAAAGCACCAGAGTGTTTGGTTACAAATACATGAACACAAGATGCAGCTGTAAGGATTTATTCTTCATCATTTTAATCAAAATGGAGTCAAAGCTGACTTAAAAATATTTATTACCAATTTAGAGGGAAGACAGCTTAGTTATAAACAATTTCTGTCAAAACCCATTCTGCTTAAGACCTGAAGGTGTTAATGGAGCGTGATGACAGTAAGTCAATGTAGTTTTTGCTCTTGCAAGCAAAGATGGTGCAGCCTTTCCTGGGCACAGGAATAGTCTGTCTGACTTTGTCTGACTGCCTTTTTCTGGGATAGTCCACAGTGAAGGAGATGTCGTGGGTGCTACAATGAAATCCCAGACCCAGCTGCTATGAGTTGACTCTTCTTGTGAAAAGGGGCATGCATGGCTTTCATCTAAACACCACTGATGGGTTTGACCTTGGACCTGGATCAATTCAAATGACAAAACACTGTGGACAAGTGAGTGTTGACCTGAGAGCCAGGTAGGTCTATCTCCCCTGCTATGGACTTGAGATTTAACTTTGGATATCCCTTTGCTTCCTTGCTTTAGGTTCCCTTGGATGTGTGGCCTTGTGGTGGCAGGAGGAGCCCTACCTCTGGTTCACAAAGGATGCGGAGATGCTCACACATTGACAGGAAAAGGGGTTTCCTCAGCAGCATCCGGCCATCTGGAAATGCAGCTCTGCCTGCTGAAAATCTGCCCTTTGAAATGCCAAGTCAGTCTGGACACAGCTGTCCCCGTCTCTGTTAAACATTTGCTAAGTGTCTAAAGGGTAGGATCAGAGCACAGGTACCAATGCGCAAGTGGATGTGGGAGGCCAATGCCCTGACACTTCCCAGCACAGGGAAAAAACCCTCCCACATCTGCTCAGCCCATCATAGAGGTTCTGGTGCTGTCACACAGGCAAAGAGCCCACCTCTGTCTCAGGAAGCGCTTGCGTGGGTTCCTGGAGGTTGGAGAGGGCTCGGTACTGTCGCGTGCTGACCCCATTCACATGCGCCTTCCAGAGGCACCTGCTGCAGCCAGCACCGTGGAGCAGGAGCTGGAGGGGCTGCAGGCATGTCCCCGTGCAGTGCCATAGCTGAGGAGGCATCCTCCAAGGAAGGTGCCACTGGAAGGGACACAGTAAAAGGCCGGCTTAATTTGTTACCACGCCGCTAACTCCCATCAGCTCCAGACTGTTTCTGCAAGGACGCCAAAGACAATTTTGTTCAGAGTCCATAAATTTCTCTAGTTAAGAACTAAGCTCAGAACATTCCCTACTGACACAAATTGTGACAGAAAACAACAGTGAACTCTTATAACTGCTAAGAACGAACATGACAATGAAAAATTGAGCACTAGAGTGCTAGAGTGCTAGAGCACTAGAGC